CGGGAATTAAAGCTTTTCAGACAAATCTCATTTTTCTCTCTCGCTGGCGCAACTTAGAAGCATGAAAAAAAAAGGCAGTGTGTACGTGTATTCTTCGTTGTCGTAACTTTGGCTGGGAGTTGACAAACTTGTTAAAACCCGAAGCTACAGTACCAGCAGGAGAGGAAAAGTCTGCCCATTGTGATGATTCGAGGTTCACTTTTTTTTTTGTCCACAGGAATTTCTGCCGACCCACTGAGCCTCGTGAGAGAAGAGCCAGCCTGTGTAGCCTCGGACAAGCTGCACAGTCCCAGGGCGCACCTAAAGAAGGGACTTGGAAACCACTTCCACTTTTATTTTCTACTTCAAAATAAAACCCTGGAAAGTTGGAATCAACTTTTGATGGCACACAATTATAAGCTGACTGGGCAGTTCTGAGTTAGCTTTCCGGTTGCAGAGCCTGAGGTTGGGAATTCAGTTCCCCACTGTGTACCCCAGAAAGACCAGCCTTGGGTGAGCTGCACAACACCAGGATGTCTGGAAGCTGAGTCATGGCAACTGGACTTCTTTCTTATTCATTCGGTTGAAATGCTTCACTGCTGATCCAAGTAGCTTCTTCAGTCTGATGAGAGTTGATAGGAGACCCCCGGGTATATCCTCCACCTTGGTTTCACTTCCCCCTAGTCTGAATAGGCTCGTTAGATGGACAATGGGAAGGGGGTTGAGTGAAAAAGTGCAGCCTTGGGCGAGCTGCACAACACCAGGCTGTCTGGAAGCTGAGTCATGGCAACTGGACTTCTTTCTTACTAGGTTGAAATGTTTCACTGCTGATCCAAGAAGCTTCTTCAGTCTGATGAGAGTTGATAGGAGACCCCCGGGTATATCCTCCACCTTGGTTTCACTTCCCCCTAGTCTGAATAGGCTCGTTAGATGGACAATGGGAAGGGGGTTGAGTGAAAAATCCCACCTCTCCACCCATTGTCATGTCTTTAACAATAGTTAACAGTGGTCTTTCTGGTGGGTGTGGTCCTGATCTTTCTGGGGAGGGATGAAAGGGCAGCATGATAAATAGGAGACAGATTGTATCTAAAGCCTCCAGCCCTGTTGAGTGAGGGATTTTCTACATGAGCATGTATGGCCTCCCTGACCCCTCTCTCAAATCACCTAACCTTAGACTTTTCCTTCCAAAATGAGTACATCTTGGTTGACAAATGAGTGTCTGGTGTCCTTCAAATGAAGACCTTAGATACAATCTGTCTCCTAGTTATCATGCTGCCCTTTCAACCACCCCAGAAAGATCAGGACCACACCCACCAGAAAGATCAAGGTTAAGGACTGTTAATGACCTATGACAAAGAAGTCAAGTTGCCATGGCTCAACTTCCAGATAACCTCACCTGGATGACTGAGAATCTTCACAGATATATCGCAACACAAGGATGCTTCCAAAAGAAAAGAATGGTAAATGACTTCCGAGTATTCTCTAGCTAGAAAACCCTGAAAAGGGTCACCCTAAGTTAGAGCTGGCTTGACAGCACATAATGATGATGGTGGTTAATGCCCTCACAGGCTAATACAGTGGACCCTCTACTTAAGGAATTAATCCGTATTGGAATGGTGGCTGCAAGTCGAAAAGTCTGTAAGTCGAATCTCCATTGACCTACAATGCACTGAAAACCAATTAATCCCATAACCAGTGGTTTTTATTCTATTTTTATTCCATTT